CAAAGCAATTAATCCGAATCGCTTTATTCTACAAGATTCTTTTGGCGAGTTTTACGATTATTGCGCAAAAAGATAATTCGAGATGATTTTTATGAAGGCAATTATATAACATACTATCACTCGAGCGGTATTAAATATAATGATAAAACGTTCTCTCACTTGAGGGACATTGAAAGGGAGAAAAAAAACAAACACACACACACACACACACACACTCACACATCCACACACCCATAGACCGAGCAGTTAATCGAGAATCGTCGCACGAGTTTTTTCTAATCGTATGGAATGAGATAGCTGCACGCGCGATTCGTCTCGTGCCTGCTCGCGCGCGCACGCAAACACAAAAAGGCACATCTTGTCTCTTTCTGAGACTAGATACATGTTATTATAGACGAAGCTCGTCGCAAATCGACGTTCATAGCTTCGACGTGCAGGAGGGAGTGTCGACTTTGGCCTCAGCATGCCGGCTCGACGATGAATTATTCATAAACGTCGCGAATAGAAGAAGGATCCCCATCCATGTTTGCGCGAGCGCATATGTATGGGTGTTTTAGGCTCTGTTTTATTATGCTTAGATGTCGTCCGTTAGGTGAGTGACTAGTCTCTGGCATCGGGATGTCTGTGTACGCGAGGAGCGGATGCACCAGCGTGATTATACCTGTAAGGTGATAATGAATTTGGAAACGATAATCATTCTTTGCGAAAAGAGAGTATAAAATCGAATTTTAAAGGATGCATGTGAATTATTTAAATAAAAGTAAGCCACTTTCGATGAACTTCGATGGAGCTTCAACTGTAGAGCCAACGCGCGGCTTATTACGAGTTATTGCTCGCTCAATTAGCTTTGAACGATCATGCAAACTTGCGCATAACGAGTGAGAAAAAGGATGTGCGCATCGAAGAAAGAAGGGCCCTCCCTCGCACAGCTAGCACATGCATACGCCTATAGCACCGTCTATAATACACTCACGAAGACTCTCCCTTTTCCGGGCTCGTATCCCACGGAAATTCAATCGCCACTCGACCGCCGCCGTCGCAGTCTTCGTCTTTCCAGCATTGTGTTCTTTGCGTTTCAGGAACGTGACTGAGTGCTCGTATGTAAGACTACGAACTACGAACCTCAAAGGAGAAAAATGAAGAATGCGTTCTGGCGGCTCGATCGAAAAGAGTCTTGATGTTTTAGCGTTCGGTTTATACTAAAAAGTGTGCCAGGTAGTCGTTGTAGTTGAGACGCGCTCGTATTTTATAAATATATAAACAAACTTTTGATTCCTTGCGTCATTTTAGCCGAGCGAGCGCCTCTTCTTTGATTAATTCTCTACTTCGTTTGCTACTTTTTACCAGATTCATAAATAACGCACTCACATAAGACTATAGGTCATCATTAACATGACTTGAACGATGTTATGCATATAAAAATTGATGCTCGTAAAAAGAGAATAGAAGTGAGAAATAGTGAAAACATCTCAAGAATTGTATCTCAAACAGCGGCACGAGTATGTGTGTACGCGTGCTCGTGTGTACGTTAGAAAACATAATGGTGGTATTTGGTGTGTATACCTGTAAGTGCCGCTAAGTTATGTGTATGTGCGTGTGTGTACGTACGGCTTTCATCGGTTCAAAGCAGTCTGCCTCCGCCGTAAGCAGAAGTAAAACCGTTGTTATAACAACGGACAGCGACTCTGCGATTTTTCTTGACATTTTTTCTTTTTTTCTTTTTGCTTCTTTTATAAAATTCCGATTGGATCAATTTTTTTGTTCTACCTGTCCGAAACTCAAGTTGAGATAGCGGACCAAATTCGCGGGTGATTAGCAGACTACTGCCGCCAAACTTTCAATTGTGGGTAACGGAGCAATCAGCGATAATTAAGAAAAAGGATATCAGATGATCGTATTGGAAAGTATAGTAACCGCACAAGATAGGAGAGAAATTCTATGAAGCGGCTACTGTACACCACACAATCATCGTTAGAAAATGACCACCTCGTTGTTTTATCGCAAAAGCGCGTCATGCGCGACTTTTAGAGACAACAACTCGACACCAACGCGTTAATGCCTCGCGTCATGCTTGCAGGGATACTTAGTTTTGAGAATGACTGTCACGCGGCGGTTGTTATATATAGCTATATACCGCCGCGTGCCGATGTTGCCGCTGATAATAGCCGGTTGTTGTCTGACCCAACCGTAAGCAGCTTGAACCTTTTTTCTTTCTTTTTTTCTTGATTACTGCAAATCATCGAGCGAGAATGACGAATTGAATTTAATCTATGAACAAGCGTCAAAATTTTCAGAGGTCCAATCAATCAAATGTCTAATTTATCGACTTTACTATAATAGTCAATCAAAACTGAAATTTTTTAAAAGTAATCTTTCAGCGAATATCCTAACTCGTACTCCATGTCCAAGTCAATTTAACCGTATATGTGTACCCCATAAATAGCCTGTAATTCGTGACATCAGAAAAAAATAGTCTATCGATGTCTTTTCGCTTCTCTACATGGGTTTTGCACCAACCATCAACTATCTTTTATAAAACCACATTCCCACCCGTATACTTTGCGATATATACTTGCAAGTCCTGTACATACATAAACTCACTGCTTTTTTGCTTCCTACTTTGCAATGTATTTAATGCGGAAGCCGGAAGCCACTCGCGACGGTTACGTTATTATTATATGGCATTAACAGAGCGGCGCGGCGTGCGGGGGCGATAAAACATTGCTAATAAAATTTTTTGGAAGAAAAACTTTCACTCTTTAAAAAAGTGTGTGAGATGGAGAGATAACAACGTCTCGCACAGTTGCATTGAAGCGTGACTGCTTGATTAGAGTCACGGACGATTGGCTTTTTTTTACAGTGTGGATCCTTTTTCTTCTATAATTACATTGTTAGACTTGAGAATCGAATGAAAATTACACGCGTAAAAATAAATTAATTTTACTTTCTCCGTATCCAATGGTGTTAATTCTACTGAGAGATAAAAACGTTCGTCGAAACAATTAGTTGCGCTTTTATCGTTTCAACCATTAAGCTCGCACTCAGTCATTACCGATGCAACGAAATCTGCCAGTCGTACCACCCACGACAGGATAAACCAGCCGCAATGCGTGTGCTACTCAATCTTATCACAGCTGACAGAATGGATGAATCGTGTAGCGACGCACTCCACAAATACATATTATGCTTATAAATCAACAATCATACATGGCGCCTTGTGTATTATACACACAAATTTTGGGCAGCTTCTACAGTCAATTTGAAAATACTCGACTATTTCTCATCGGATTACCAAGTTCATTCGACTTTTTTTCGCGGGCGAGAACACGGACTTTTTAGAATCTCGTTGACAAATTATACCGATGCTATGGCTGTATATAATACCTATAAATGATCTTTTTCACAGGCTTTTTGGAGTTTGATAAATACAGCAGCCATGGTACATGGTATAAATGAACGTTCACCGCGATAAAATTTGTCGCTGTATATATTCATTTGCCGAGATAAATAGAAACAGCGATTCGAAGAGGTTACTTGTTTACGTCCGTATCTTTCGAGATATGTCAATGATTAGTTTTTGAACATACCAATGCACTTTTCAAGTTCACTGATTCTAGGCCAATCGTTGCCTTTGCAAAGATTATCATTATTCACTACACAGAAACGAATTTTTACATCAATAACATTTATGTGCCTATTATTGAATTAATGAAAAATACTGAGCCACGACGGCGTGGAAATATCGTTGGAAATTAATCGAGTGTGCCTCACACCTGAGTTGGTAAAATTAAATTCAACAACTGCATCACGCGCTGCATTTGTATTTTTATTGCATAGCTGCGAGCAAGATAGCAGCGATAAAAAATAAACTACGAGTCTTTTTGGAGCAGCAGCGATCGACGAGCTATAAAATCGATCTGGATCGCTCTTGCTCTCGCTCTCTCTCTCAGTTTATTAAAACATGCATCGTGTGCGTTGATAGACTGAATCGTCATTCACGATAACGGGTAACCCGTTTGGAAAACATCACCGTTACTCATGTAGATATACAACTACGTTGTGTACTGCAGACAACATCGTAGGACCTATATACAAACTTCAATATAAATAGATAGATATATCCTACAGGCTATATTACATACGAAAGTAGGCAAACAACCATCGCCCACTACTGTGCCAAAGAGAGAACTCCCGATGTGCTGTTAGCCTAATGACACGCAAAAGTAGTTCTAGAGCAGAATATGGGCGTAGCTCTAGTGCACTTGTGTGCTGCAATTGTTTTTCTTTCTCTCAACAATAATTACGTAACTGTAGGATTTGCGAGCAGAGTGTGGCACTGTGTGTACGCGCGACCATGCTTTTTTCGTAAACTTATAATTCGCCCAATCTAATTCTCTACCTAATCGCGTTGACCATTTTGCTCGCACAAATGTAGCGGTATACTTAGACGATCGCACGCGCTGTGATTATTAGCGAATTAAATCGGAAGGCTGGCGTGTACATATAGATCGGAAAATTAATTGCTATTGACTTGGAAGTAGGCCAATTATAATTTCTGATGCGATAAGAAAGAGGAAGTTTTACAACAAATTTTCTTTGAACAAATTATCGTGCAGTTATTATTATTCCTGGTAAAAAAAATCAACTCAGCTCAACGTAATACAACACTAAAAATGCTCGACGAATATTTTCACCATCTAGAATGTTAAGCGCGACGCGTATCACGTATCGACCGAGACTGATCGCCGTCACAACCCAGCGTATAAGGTCTATTTTTGTCCCGACGTAAACAAGTTTTCATTATTGCGGTCATACGCGAGCAAAGTCAATTACGCTCGCAAGCACAATGACATGCTTTACACGTTGGAGTGTCCTCCCACGCACGCGTTATCATCCCGCCCTCCAAATCAAGTCGAAGGGGTGTCTAGCTATTATTATAAAAAAAAAAATCAATATATGGTTGTATATATGTATATTAAAATGTGAAATATGCTTTTCAGGCGAATTGTACGTTGAAGATCTTGGCGAGCGTCGGTTCGTCTCGATCCGCATGGGCTGGCTGTGGGTTGAGGGCACACCGATGCGTATGCCACTGCGGGCCTTAAACCTACGCCAAGCAGACCAAAGCATATGCCAGCCCCATGCCTTAGCACTTGGATTTAATCTCAGTAATGCACAGGGACAAATAGTCGCTACTTTTTGGGTAAGTTTCACTTATCATTTTAGAATTTTAATCATTATTTTGTTTATTTCTTTACAAATTTCACTGTTTGCCTATTGCTTTTAATGCTTTTCATTTTGAGATCTTCGGTGGAGGAGATCGTGTTAATTTTCATGTGTGAAGTGTTTTTATTTGAAAAAAACGGTGCATTTTTATGTGGCCAAAGTATGTTTGAAAGAGTATTTTGAAAAAAATAATAATAATAATCCTAGTTTGATGGACGTTTGCGGTAGATGTATATCGGATGAATAACTGAAATAACACTAGTTTGAATATTATTACATTCCCTGAATGTATGGAAACTAATTCACATTACTAGCTATAAAAACATCAAAGATAAAGTGATCACATTAATATCATAATAGTGCTTCGCATTTATAATGAGCTGATGAAAAATACGAAATCATATTATATGATGCCAATATGATTAAATCAATGAACTCTCTTTCTCTCTCTTTCGCCTCCTATAGCTATTAAATTCTTTTGCCACGATCGATGCCTCGAAGTTTTAACATTCTAAACTCATTTTATGCCTCTCGGTACTTGATGTGCAAAGCAACCAACGCCTTACGCAGTCGTGCCATCGACATTATTTTTCTCAATTCGTGTTCGCGAGTTTGCATCTGATTAGAATCTCAAATTCCAGCGTGGCGTCGTTGTCTAGCGCAGAGACATTTCATAGGCACGAGTGCGCGAAACTAGAATGCGCGATGAAGACGCTGGGAAAAACAGAAAAGTACAATGGCTGCGCGACGTTGCGACACCTGACGCCAGGCAGATTTTTGTAGTTCGCCAGCGGAAGAATGTTTTTTTTCGATTCTTTTTTTCGCCAAAAAATCTTGTAGATTGCGTCAAAATACGTGTGGTCTGCGAGCAAAGTAAGTGAACGTATAAAAAAGAAACGATTTAATTAAAAAACCATGAATTATGCCGCAGAATTGAGATTTTCCGCCAGACATGATCCACGCAATCGATTTGACTTTCGTTCGCGTGTTTAGTACCCTCGCATGTAGAAAATCTAGTCAAATCTTGAGAATCTTACAGGGGATTGGAATAAAAGTAAGCGTATAAACTTATTCGTGTGATGTATTAAGACTTTAAATTCAAACGACCTATCGTACGTTTAAGCCTGAAACTCGCAATCAATCGTCTCGGAGAATATATGTCACTACTACTCGATGACTTTCGCTATTTAATAATGTCCGATAATTACAATGAAAAATGCGCACGTGTTCTTGTTTTTGATTTCAATCAGTGAAATTTTTATTAAACAAATTAGAAAAAAATAAAGCAAGAGAGGAAAAAAATTGCGAAACTTTCTATGCGATTAGAAGCCTTCGAAATGTCATCTATGAATATTTACGAGTAAAATTATCTCGGTGGCAGAACTAGTTTGAATTGAAAATAAAATCGGACGCGTTTACGCGCGGCAATAGATAAAACAGAAATCTCTATGTGTTCAAACTGATTTGATTTCGATACTAGAATAAATTTTCTCGATAACTTTTTTATTTTGCTACTGTTTCTGCTGTGTAATAGTGGGCTTATTCATTTATTAAAAAGATCCATTTAATCTTTCAAACTCACAATGCTGCAAATTCGAAAATGAAAGGGTATTCGTAGTAGGAATAATTCCTTTATAACCACAAGCAAGTGATAGTAATTGCCGAGCATGTAAATGTTGCATGAGTGCAGTGGCTCTCTTATCCCGGGGCTCAATCCGATTTTCCTTAGCAGCGAAAACACTTTCTTTGCCGCGCGCTCATTTAATTAAAGTCCGGGCGATGCATTGGCTTGGTGCTGTCATTAGCACGTATAAGCACAATGTGCGGCGAAATATTCTCTAACGTTTTATAATGAGGTGTGCCTTTTTTACCTCCGCCGCAAGCTTTTGTTGAAATAAGAAAATTAGCGCGAACGAAGATGATGTAACTTGCACGACCGAGAAAGAAAGTCACCTGTGTGGGTTTAATTCGTAGGATGAGTTTTGTAATCCAATTTGAAATTTGGTTAAGAATTATTACTTTACTCCCTTCAATTTGATGCACTTGGCTGATTGATGGAAGAAAATTATGGGCTGTAGAGATGATAACGATTAAATCGAGGAAATGATTAGAAGATTATGGGCTGCCGCTTCTGGAATGATGTAGCTAACGAGTTGAAAAACTATGCGATCTCGTGTTTTTACGATTCGCGAGATTTATCAGTCAAGCTGCTAATAAAGTATCGTGACCAGTGAAAAAAATGTTAAATGTCACGCAATCAGACACTATAATGCGGGAGTTAACGCTCGCTAGATATTAATTTTTTACAAAATATTATTTTCGTGATTAGCTAATCAACGTTTCGTATCTTTTCACTTTCTCCGCGAGTGGATAATCTTTTATTAATCTGCGTAGCAGTAACAATTAAATTCCAAAGCCTTAATAAATGCAGAATTATTTCCTCTTCTCTCCCCATTTATTATACATATCGTGCAATTGAGTTAAAAATTCGCGAGTTAGCGCGCGCTTCCTTGCCCGTGCCTGTTGGTTGCACGCGCGCCAACGTTACAAACTCTCGAGCTGCTTATTATAGCAATAGCATCCTACTGTATTTTCAATCTTGAAATCGTATAGTAACTTCATATATGTTTTTGGTTCGCCATTGCCGGAGCCAGTAAAATGAATTGGTCACTGATTATTTTTATTCACTCACTAAAAGAATTATCCCTAAATGAATAAATAGAAATGGGAGCTCGATTTTTTAAAAGTAGATTACAAAAAATTAATCTGGCTATTGTGTTTTGCCTTTCATTAACCCGCGAAGCTCGTTAGTGTCTTACAGAGCGGCGACTCACTAGAACGCTAGGGAAAGAAAAAGAAAGAGAAGTTGAATAATGTAAGAATAATAACGGGATAGCAGGTGCAATATTGGCAAGTTCGTGTTGCGAGAGTATTTTTATCGAGGTTTTCACTTTCTTGCTACAACACATGTGTTATTATACATTATATGTGTGTAATTTTATGTACATTTACCTGTAATACAAATTCCTATGCAATAATGGGACTGATTTAAAAAAGTTATAGATGTATATAATCCCCTCGACTCCTTTTGATAATTTTAAATCTCATAATAATTGGTTGAAATTTTAATACCGACTAAACGAATGTTCAATTTACGTTTCCCTTCTGCATTATCTTATGCATGTTTTTCGTTTCCACACATATACACACTGCTTCGCTGTTTACCTTTAAAGCAGTTATTTGCATGGAAAAGAATCACAGCTTACAAATCAGATGGTATATTTAAAACGTTACAGTTTTTGAAACGGGAATCTCTCAAATACTATCGTACTCGAGCATCGTTTGGCATTCATATTATATATACATACAGCGCCTGCAGTGTCCAAAAGCAGACTTATTTTCGTATCATAAAAATGCACTTCGAAATCTTTTATCCATACACAATACAAAACAAATCAAGCCTAAAACCGATACATTGAACAGCGCAAAGCAACGAGAGGCTGTAAAATGAGATAACCAATGAATCTGTTTTTACGTAAATACTTCGGAACAATCGATTTGCATCTTTAAAATGCAAATAAAGAGCGAAACATACCAAATAAAGAGCTGCGCCGCGTTACATACTCACACACGTACACACACTCACAGATCTGCACACTTACACTAATATGGTATAAACTACTGCAAGTTTATGCAACACATGGTAATTTTCAAGTACACGATATACTTTTACTACAAATACTAAGGCTTTTTCTAAATAGAAAATTAACACGAATCTGCTTTTTGTTCATTTCAACAATGCAATTAAAACTTGCACCATGAAATAATCTCATTACTGATTTCAAAAGTTTTGAGCTATTATTATGACAAGCTTAATATAATAATAATTTTCCATTCGTAGATGCTTTTTTTGCCGATCGCTTTTCTCAATGGTATCAATGCAATAGCTCCTTGAAAATAACCACACAGCAAAATTGATGGTGCATGACTGATTTTATTATTTGATTTTATCATTTGCGAAAAAAGTTTTATTTTATTTTAAAATTCAATTTAAATAAAATTGAATTGTAGTAAATCTTAAAATTGTTACTTTTATGAATTTATGAATGTTTTGTGACCATTTAAGAATGTAAATGTGAACTGAGAAAAATCTTTCAATTTCTTTTAAATTTGTGTGATTGTTGAAGTGTATTGAAAGTCAAGGTCATATCATCTCTAAGAATAAACTGACTACATAGAATTCTTTTGACATTATGAAAAGCTTTGCATCGTACCTAACAAACATCTAATGAACAATTAACAAGCAAACTATCTTTCTAAGAAAATCATCCATCAATTAGTTTTTCTAATTTTCTTTTGTAAGTATTTAGTTTTTCATTTCAATACTTAATAATGGTAAGCATGAAGTTTTAACAAATTTATGCATGTATGATTCTCCGTATTTTGTGGCTTTTCATAAAAAATAACAAAAATATAATTAAAAACATAACCATCATAATTGAAAATTTCACTCGAATTGTTTCAGGCGGATACCGAGCCGATCTGGTGGTCGTGGGTTCGAGCTATTGCCGCAGAATTAGTGCGACAAACTCCATTTCGTGCACAGCGATGCCTTAACTTCCTCGAAATCCTCACAACGTGCCCCAGAACACCAACACTCGAGAGCCTTACTGGACAGCGTCGTCGGTCGCGGAGCGAACTTCGTTGCTGGCCCACGAACGATCTAAATTGTGACAAAGTCGACGAGCATAGGAATTCGATCGTGATCGAGGACGCGCGACGTAGGGCACACAGTGCATTGCGAAGCTGGTCGAGCAGTAACTCTAGTGACGACGACAACAATTCCGGAGGCGGTGGCGTCAGCAACAAAAAAATGCTGCAGGTGCGCGCTTGGGGCTGCAGCGAAAGTAGCGAGGGTAGTGATGATAGTTTGCCCTACGGTACGGGCCTCTGCAGATCTAGCGTGGATTGCGTCGACTCGGCTATTACGTTGGAAGCTACCACCAAGGAGCAAAGGATGCAACGATACAAAGAGGCAAGGCGCAGGGAAAACGAAGCTAGGACGAAGCGAGTGCTGGAAGAGGATGCTAGGCGAAGAAAAGCCAAGCAGGCCGAGTTAAACAACAACGATATTCAGCACAGAACTTCAAAATGGAGCAGAATACTAGAAGATCTCTCTCCGATTAGATCTAAAAAAGATCAGAGTATTATGAATGTTATAAATTTGACTAAGGTGAATAAGCCGTACGAGTTATCAACGACGAGGTTGACCCCAGTCAAACCTCATGAAGTGAGGTTTGAAGAGCATGTTCCTGAGGACAATCGTAACAATAACAGCAACTACCGTTTGAATCTGCTCAACAGTCAAAATCGTCTACGGGACAAAGATGAAACATCTTCCACAGAGATTTCGCCAACCACGACGACAACGCTCAAGAAACCAGGTATTCTCAGGTCTAACGACACTTGTGAACGAAGAAGTCGGGCACGTGAACGTCGGGCTGTCGTTCGCGACAAGGCAACACTCATGTCAGTTTTTGCGGCCAATATACAAGTGGAGACACTGGAGCAACGCAAAGAGAGGCTTGCTCGGTTTCCAGAAACCGCAACCGAGGAGAGGAAAACGATCATGACTTCTTCGTTGACTTTCATGCGCAATCCACCTCAGGAAGACGAAGTTGCCAGGCTACTGGAGAGGTGTCAGCGAGTTGACCATTACGTACCCGTGCGAGAGAAGCTCACTCTCTTCGAGTCCTTGTCACGAATGGGAGGACGATTGGCTAGGAGCACCGAAGACTTGGGTAGATCTAGCTCAAATCCTAGTCCTAGAGGCAAGCAAAGAGCGAGATCATTGCACGATCTCAACAGAGGAAGGTCTGTACCCGTGAGAGAGATGTGTCGATTTTTCGAAAAAGCACAGCCAGAGGCAAATAACCAGATTATCAGCAACAGTCCGACGAATTCACCTACCAAAGTTGTCAGTCCAACGCCGTTACCGAGGACGAGGTTCATCAGCGATGTGCCTATGGATCTCGCCAGGAACAAAGGGTTCAACCTTTACGACGAATTTAGTAGGGAGCTACACGTATTACACAATGGAAAAAGTCCAACGACGTGCAGTGCGTCCCCGAAGAATCCTGATGCGCCCTGCTTAAGGATGTCTTCGAGGCGGAGGCATTTCGTGAAATAAGAGTTCGTTTGTTTGTTTGTTTGTTTGTTTGTTTGTTTTTCTGTTCACTTTCATTGCGTTACACGTTTGAGTTATTCGCATGAATCGTTACGACACGTTTTCATTAAAAAAACTTGTACGAAAATTGTAATGTTACAAATTATGGGTTTATTTTTTTTATAGAAATTTCGTCAATTACTACGAAAAATGATTCAATTATTACTGTCACCATTGAGACTATATTGAATTGTATGTATTTAATCAATAACTGTATATTTTTTGCCAAAATTTGATAATAATTATTGGGTTACGTAGAATTAACGCGTTCCGTTGAAAGGTATATATATTATTATTATCTGCAATATGTGAATAATTAGCTGAACAATCTTTTGTCTTGAAGCATACAATGTGAATAATAGGACAAGAGAATAGTGAACCTGTCCCGAGTCATGTAATCGTAGTAAACTATGTTGTATTAATAACTTTACAGAGATTATGCAACATTTATAATTAAGTGCCAATAAAACAGACGCAGGATATTTGCATGGTAAAATTTTGCTCCGAGTAAGATGACGAGTGTAATTTTTTTCATGCCATTTGCTTTTGATTCTGTCCAATTATTTAAAAGCAAAGATTCGAAGTTATACAAATTGTGTACATATATTTTTCTAAAAATTGTTTTACTTATCGTTGAATATTATAAAACTAGGTTTAATCGACCGTTAAACATTGTGATTTTGTTCTCGCTGTTGAATATGTATTAATTATTTTGATCAAGAAATTTTGAAAAAGATTAACATTTAAGAGTTTTCTCTTTTAAACTGAATGCGCCCTGGTAAAAATCATGTGTTACGTTAATAATGCAACAGTAGGAGGTAAACTGGGAGCAATTAATCCTCGAGTCGAGTGCAAATATAAGAATGAACGACTTAGTGGTTGCACGAAAAAAACGCACGTGGGTTGTGTGGCTCTGTACATTCGCGAGAGAAAGTCGATTTGTTGTTTCAACTGTGAAAGATGAAGTCGAAGAAGTGTTAACAAGAGTTTGTGTGTGCGTGTAGGTAAGCACAGCTTGTATTTTGCGCCATTTCTTGCCTCTATATGAGAATTTTACTTTCGACGACTAAATTACCATAGACATTCTACTTGGACACATGCAAGGATTATTTTCGCGCAGACTTATCAAAACCGTAATTACAATAATCCAATCTCTTCAAAATATGTCAATCGAGTGAAACGTGAAAAAGTTTGATGAATTGAAAAGGAGAAAAATCTGCAGGAGAAAAACGAAACCAAGAAAGTCAATATACGCTGGAAGCTTGCACACGCATGCATACACATAGACACACACATACACACACACCAATGTCAGCTAGACAAGTAAATACAAGACTTCATTATCATCGGAAATAGAGGGCGCGAGAAAGTAACAACAATTGCTTGTCGCGAAAAAAGTGCGAAATAGAAATTGTTCGAAGCTTGTGTGTGAGAGACATTACAATCGACAGCTCCAGGCTATACAACGGCGTCATGCCGCCGAGAGTTCGTTTAAGTTGAAAGACTTGCTGGAATTTCATTGCTCCCCAGGATGTAGTTGTCTGGCAGTATTTGGATTTTCTGGAGATATATTTAACCCGTTCGAATCTTTCTTCTCTAACGGTCTTTTTGTTTTTGCTTTGGTCAATTGATCGCCGCCGCTAATTGACCAAAATTGAGTTAATTACAAACTGAGTGATTCGTTGATTTCAACCAAATCAAAATTTTCTTTCTTTTTTTCCAGTATTTGAAATAGTAAACGATTTCTAAGACTTTCACTTGTGCTAATTAGATCGATTTCGTGACCTTGAGCCACGGTTCGCTCAGAAAATTCAGGGCATCGTGAATGCAAAGGCATTATTATTCTTATCATTTTTTTCTTGTGCACATTATTTTAATCTTGGGTCACTCGACATCCTCAATCTTTCAATCTTCTCAACTATTAACACGCTGCTTTACAGACACTACATTTAAACCTAAGTTGTTAATGTAGCCTCAATAAAAAATCAAGTCTGAATTCAAAATTCGGTACAATTTTTTTAGCTTGTTGATTGATATGATTCATTGTTATATAAATCCATACGATCTCAAAATTGATTAAAGTATTAAAATATTCAAAATGTTGCACGTTAAATTTGTATAAATATTGTTTGAAATTACCTTCTAAAATTTGTTACGTAAAATTCGACGCTCTTCGTGTTATTGTATGCTTTTTCGTGTACGAAATATGTATTGTAAAAAGCTCCACATTTTCACTTTTGACGTTCTCATAAATGATATTGAAAAGAAGTATCAATTCTCACACGTTCGCGTGTGCATAAAAAAGGAACGACGATTACTTATGAGAATTCCTGCATGAAAAAGAGAGTGAAAGTGATAAAATTCGCCGTGTATGTGCACTTCCCTATCGTGTACGTGCATGATAATGAACTGTGAACATTTTCGCCGCACTTCGTATAATCATGAGATCTTGTAAAATATACTCATTTATTTGTAAGTCGCACTTATTACTTAGGCACCGACGATAATAGTAGCCGTAGAACAAAACATTTATAGTCACATAAATACATTTTTAGATTCGTTGAGAGATTTTCGAAAAAATTGTTTATAAACAAGTTGCTATTGTATGAATGAGCTTTTTTTAATATCAATGTGTCGAGAGTTATGTGGGGCTTATAAGGGGTTTATAATCGAAAATAATTTTATTTAATTTTTAGTAAAAATGTTTCTTCCTCTTTCCATTGTATTTTTCTGAAATTCTAACATTTTGATTTTTCACTGAAATAGAGCTGTTTCCGTGGAGCTTTTCTGTATGCTTCATGTGTTGAATTTTTTCTTTTATCGCATGTTTTAAAAAGACCTTGAGGTGTCACAAATATGTGAAAAACGCCCATAAAAATGTCGGCATTTCAGTGAAAAATGACGATTTGGGAATTTAAAAAAAATTGAATGAAAAGAGTATGAAAGATCCTATTTGAAAATTTAATACAATTTTTGCGATTTTATTTCCCGTATGAGCCTTTAAGAATTTGTATATATATTATTTATGTATATTGTATCGCAGAAATTTAATTATGTAATTATCGAAGATAAGCATGTACGCTGAGAGAAAAGTGTTTGCCGACTATATAGCTGACAATAATCAACTCATGCATGCTAAGAACAAATTTTTTGTAAAATTATGTTACTAATTTCTTTGAGAATTTCTCTCAGCGTTCGAAACTCATTCGTTTAACAAACCTGACGAAATAAGAGTCAAAACGTTGAAATTGAATCGTTGCATTTTGTTTCAAAGACAACGGTTGTAGTTATTTAGAAGGAGAAAATAACAACCGTTGCGCCAAAGAGGATTTCTAGTCCCTCGTGAGTTTGAGGTACGCAAAATTATTATCGAAAAAAATTCGCGAAGCAGACAAAGCGATTCCACTACCGTCATAATAATGAGCTAATAAGTAAATATTACAAGTTTATCAAAATATAACTTTTTATTTTACATGTGTCGCAAGTATTCTAAATTTATTAAAGTAAAAATTTTATATTCTCGTTGAATGATGATACGTGGGTACGTTTTGGATGTGCTATACATGTACTCATGTATTTATTACAAATGTTCGCACGAACATTGCGTGCTGCCCGCTGCGAACTTACGAGGTTATTATTATGTACTTTTTTATGTATTAGTATTTACCTACTGTAATACCTTGCATTACCTACAATTGTGTTTTGTTATATTCCGTGTAGTATACAAGAAAAAAGGGATAAATAATAACCGTTATATAAAGGATAATATTAATTGTGATTTTAGAAAGTTCTTTTCATGCCAACACGTCATTTTTCCTGTCCTCTAACACCCATCACGATCACACTTTCCAATAGTTATTGTCCTGTGTTAAATAGAGCGACGACGAGTAACCCTTTAAACCACAATACTTAATACATTGTACAATTTTCCCTGCATTCATTCATATCACTTTGATCAAAATCATCAGTTTTTTCACGTTTTATTAACTTTATATTTTTCGTTGCTGTTGATGCACTTGGTTTGCCGGTAAGTAAGATTGGTTCTTTAATCATTAATTATTAATATTATCAACATTGTAAACTATATTCCAACTTTATTTGAAAGTAGTCATTTGTTCAATAAAAATGATTAAAATGTATTATCAATCATCGACCATTTTTCTGTAAAGAAACATTATTTCGTGTATAATTGCTAGATGGTTACGCCATTTTTGTACGTATTGATGAGATACATGCGTTCGTTCTAGTTTGCTTTTTTTTACAATCGCTGAGCTCGGTTTGGTGCTTGGATTTTAATTGGTTCCAAAGGCTAGTCAATTGAAGAATTTCAAATTTTTACACTTTCTAGTAAATTTCAGAGCATTTCCATGTAGTTGGTTTTTGCGTTGAGTCTTTGGATTCCATTTGGCAATGAACTAACCCGAATTACAAAATTTACGAATAGACACTTCAATTTTCTTTTTAACCTTAGAGAAGTGTTGAAATAAGTAAATCACTTGTTGAAGTAGTCGATGTATTTTCTTATATTACAGTACTTATTCAACATCATTTAATTTAGATTTGATAAAACATTTACGAGTTATTATCTCGAATTCGCTCACTTTTACGTAGCAACGATGCATAGTTTGTAATTTATGCTACCGCAAGTGAAATATCATGCACTCACACATTCTTTGCGCTTACATATTATTCGATATTTCGCAAAAATTTCGATCGAAAGCATAATTGCACCTACTATATGCTGCGCCTGTGTATCGGCATTCAACGGGTAACTTCCTCTTTTTCAGGCGCTATTATTTCTTAAAAGTACGTGTGTATGTGCAGTGCTCGCTTTCGAAAGTTTTCGCAGCTCGCGAGAGTGATGTGTGTGCGTGCACGCGAGCCCGTGGTATAATACAAGACTGGCTTATTATTACTCGCAAACATTGCACTGCAACGCCTTTAAATTACTTAATTGTATGCATATACATACGTAATATGATGAAACGGATGTGATGGATTATCAATTGAATCGGTAAAAATTGGACCTTTGAAGTTTATTCATTTTTGTACATTTTTCGAAAATATGTAATTTTTTTTATAATCAGTTGAGTTCAGAATTATTTTGCAACTTGTGAATTTTATTATTATTTTTTTTTAATTTTAAAATGTTTGCGTTTAAAACAAGATTTCTTGAATTCCCAGTTGAACAATTCTTTACGACTCTGGGATATTACGTAAAGTCTTATGATAATTTTATATAAAAATTCGAAGGATCTTACCGTACACCTGATTTGTTTGCTTAAAAATCAAAACTCCCAAGTTTATAAGCAAGGAACCAGTTTTCGTGTGGATTACCAGCAAAAATTGTGATTGAACGAAGCCATCGAACTGAGATCACGTTTCAGGTGTATGAATAAACAAGTTGATGAATACATTTTTGTTCTGACCGCGAATTTATCGAACAGTTTATTGTACATTATCGTCCCACTGCGTATATGCCTAGAATTCCACGTTACAAGACGATCCAATAATTTTTATGAAGTTGTAAGAAAAAAAAACAGAATCCTTACCTTTCTAGATAACTTTAACTTTGTAGTTATCATAATCATTCAATTGAGCGTTAAATAAACAGCGACATATTAAGATATTGCCTTTGTGAAAGCTTATATAGCTATAGAAAGTCAATGTTATGTAAAACATAACGGTTTTGAAGATACAGTAGATCAATTTCATCAATCAACAAGATGTTTATACTCATGCAGCATTTAAAAATTTGAAAAAAAAAATAATAAATCTAACGATTCAAACCACGTTTGGGTTGTTTGTTTCAAAATAGCTTATTTAATATGTTTTCAAGGTCTTCGCAGTGATTTACTAATACAGATATTAATTATATGTACTATTTTCAATAAATTGATGAAAATAAAATCGATATTTATGCAAGGACGTAGAAAGAGAAACTTGGAGTTAAGGCTGCTCTAATAAGATTTCAAACAGCGTAGACACGTGTTGCTACCGAACGATGCCTCGGTTACGATTATGACTTGAAAATGTATAACTATAATCTCAGGCACAAATCTCTCATCCGACTATCTTATTATAATATCGTTTCAATGTTGGGTTTGATTGAATTTGTAATAAAAATTATTATTATTTAGAGCGTTACATCATGACAAGATTTTTTTCCCAGCTTCAGTTGAAAAATTTGAACTGTTTTAAAACCCGCTTAAAAGTATAATTTGTAAAGAGCTGCAATTATCTATTACATCTTTTCAATCTGTCATGCACTAATTATTTATTAACAATCCTTTTTGATTTTTTTCGATCGTCAAAGATTATATAAATGGCATCGACTGAAATTCGACTTGTTTGCCTGATTAAGTAAAATTCGCCGACACAAGAACGTATATGTATATAAATCGTACAGCGAAAGAGTAATAAAGAAACTACCGGCGAATCGAGAAACTGGCCTTGATATTACGATCGCGCGCATGAACGAGAAATACACGCGGATCTATACTCTGCGCGCGTGTATGTGTGTCCACACAAGAACAATCTAAGAGATCTTTCTCCGTGAAATCGATCGCGTTCACCTTGTGAGGATATGCTCGTGTGTCTCTTTGCAATTTAACGTAATGCAAGATATAATGTTCTCAAAGTAGTGCAGTGGTTAGTATTTATGCAGCGACTTCTAGAGCGAGCATCAGCCGTCCGTTACTTCGAAAAGATTATGATTGTTTGATTAGATTGTAACAAATTAATTAATAAAAACTGCAACAATGATTTTGATAGCATTCGTACTTATGAATTGTTTTAGAGCAAGCAATAGAATGTCGTAATCTATTATTTTTCACAAAGCATCAAATGATAATTTAAAATGTCACGACCAAACGGCATTCCTTGCTGTATGTTTAATTCAATACTCGTTGAGACATATCCTTTTGAAATTTAAATAATAATAGTTTTTTTACGTAATGATACACCGATTAGCTACTTAGCTGTTTTAATTATCTTTTCTTACTTATTACTGCGATACACTAATCTTTTGAGAGTTTTTTTTATTATCCTCTTGCTATTAAACCTTCATCATCACCACATGTGAAATAGAACAATTTTTAATTTTTAATATAATGTTCAACATAAATTACTTTTATCTGTTTTCATTAACTTGACTTTTCCCGATTTTGATGTTTAATGATAGAGTAAAAGTTGCTGAACACGTTCGCTATTTTACCGACTGAAGCTTATTAAGATATTTTTAGAATCAACTATTATGATTCGTTTTTTTCTATTTGAATAGTTGCGATTTATTATGTGGTAATAATGTTAAAATCCATGATTAAATATCAATTTTTAAAAGTGTAAATGAATTTAATGATATGTACAAAATTGATTTTATTAAAAAGAACATACTAAATATTATCCACTATTTTACAATATTATCCATAAGAGACGTTGTCTTTTCATATAGCCATAAATATTTATAGTTCGTGATCTATCAAAAAAAATATTGGTGAAATTAAATCTGACGCTAGAAACAGAACAAAGTCATATTATTAGCATATTCAAAGATAGTTCAGGACACTTCTAATAAAAATGAATTTTTTATAATATAAGTTTGGGCTAGCGAGACTTTGTTGCACTAAACCTCACAACAACAAACATTTATTCAGTCGCTTGACATTTACATGCGGTAACCAACTTCACAAATGCAAAGTACAATATATTGTCCTCTAATAATAAACAAATTGAACAATTTTAAATCGCTATTGTTAAAATTTATTTTGACCCTTTAAAGGGTATATTTTTTAGCAATATCGATTTTTCAATTGTTTACAATAATTTCAAAAATGTTAAATTAGACAAATTTTGCCCTCATAACAACTCTCGTAAATTATTTTCAGGCGTAAAAAAACCTTCATGTGCATATTAGATTAGCAGAATAGAAAGAACATAAAAAGAAAAGAATATAAAAAGCAGAAATTATTTTTACGATCACGTCCAAAGATATTTTAAATTATGCAGAGATTTTTATAAACATGAACATTATCATAATAGAGTTACTGATTTATAAAATTTCTTTTAAACTTCTTTGTTCACACATTAAAATCTACATGCTATAACATATTTTTATTTGTTTAACTTTATCGATATATTTCAGTTCGCTTAAACAGACCATACAGTCTCTATTCACGCTTAATAATAAATAGATTTATTATCTTATTAACTCGTTCATATTGATTGCTTCCTATTTTTCAATTTTTTTTAATTTTAAATTTTAAATAGCATTTTTATATTTTAATTTTTTCTCATTTACAATTGTAACAATGAATAAAATGCTATTGGTTATTTGTTCCCTGCTATTCCATTTTATTGTGAAAATACTGCCATCTTTCATTTCTTTATCAAGTTTGTAACTAAGAGACAACTTCTTCGTGGTTTTTGTCTCTCTATTTGCATTTTAAATATTTATCAAACTTTTTGATGAAAAATATTGAACCCAATTCTTTTTGACTATATAGAAAAAGAAAATTCCCGGATGCCGTTCTTTATCGGAAATAGTTTCTATTTTGAAAAAAAATTAAGATTTTTTTACCGTATATAATACATAAGCAATGCTTCAATATCGCGGCATACTTATATTCCATAAGTTTCTAAATATACTTGTTTCTTTCATAATAAATGATGCAGTGACCAAACTGTTGAAGATTAGTTCACTAACGATTTTTAAAAAAATTATCAAAATATTATATTTATAATTAGTTCCGATGGCATCTTGTAAACGTATTTTTCCATTTTGTTTATAAAATTCGTCAGGAAATATCACGCAACTGAGAGAAGATCTTTGGATCTACAATGGTTGAAATAAAGTGATATAATTTGAGCTCAAGTACTTGCAATTTCGAGTTCAAGTACGCTCGTTTGATTCATACTAACTTAATTCTTTTTTGTATTTTTCGATGTAATTTTCATATCCTCGTAAAGTATTCTTAAATTTTGCACTAACTCTCTCGATCCAAAGAATCAAGGGTATCGTTACTTGAGGAATGCGTAAGATCACTAAGTTCGTCGAGATGCTTTTGTTTTTTGCGGACATTCCAGTGCAAACATTCGGCTAGAGAATCAAACCAGTCAGTTATTTGATCAGCTGAACATATGGATGGGACAGGATATACGGATGTCGTTACTTCCAAACTGAAATAAAGTGAATTTGATCAATTAGAATCGTATAGAAATTTATAATTGGATTAATTTTTAATATTTAATTTAGAATGACTTACCTATCACCATGAAATAGCTCTGTTCGATTTCGACCATCAAATGACACCCACGAAGTATTTCTACTGTCAGGTGATACTGAAATCTGTTTCAATAAAAATTGGCAAATAAATATTGGTCATCAAGCGAAATAAAAAAATTAATGATTTGTTTGTCTAACCTTGAGCTCGACTCCCGCTGGTACAACGATAGGCCTGAAGCTCAGCGAATGTGGACAAATGGGCGTAATCATAATAGCAGGCACCGATGGATGTATCATGCTCGCACCCGCGGCTACTGCATATGCCGTTGATCCTGTCGGTGTACTGACTATCAAACCGTCACCTTGGACACTAGTTACGTGTTTTCCATCAATGAACAGGTCAATGTTTGACAGGTAGGGTGATGGGCCTCGATCCACCACAACTTCGTTTAAAACTAAAAGACTCTTTGATTCTTTGGGTTGATCCTTTTGAGCTTTGCGTCTCATGACGCAGCGTAAACGACTTCGCAGTGTCAGAGCTGCATTACCTATTGACCACGAATTAATTAGTATGGAAATGCCTTCATCGATTATTGCAAGTCAAATGACTGTCTGCAGAGTCGGATAGTTTTAATCTACGCAAATTAAGATGAATGACGTATATACCTTCTAAAACGTTCGTAACTTGTGACTGAAAATTTTCGAATTCAAAAGGCGTTAGAAATCCTAAAGAGCCTAAATGGAATGCCATAATTGGTGGTACAGATTCTTGAAATAGCAGACTGGCATACAGAAGTGTTCCATCTCCACCCAAACAAATGATAAAGTCGATGCGATCCTGAAAATCAAATAAAATTAATAAGAAATGAAGCATAGATTAAAAATCTGTTATATTTTATTATGATTTGCTGGAGTATGGAAAAAATTAAAAAATTGACAAAAAATAGTATCAAAAGCTATTTTAGGCATGTTCATTTTTCGGAACATCACTTTTTTATAAGTAAAAACTTCCTTATAAAATTTTTAATGAGCTCCTAGTCATGATACAATTACAAGCAAAATTAAATTACGAGTTCCATTATCTCATTCCATTATTCGAGTCATTATTACATTATTACACGAGTTCTTACCTGAAGATCGTCTGTGCCATCTCTAAAAGTTTGTAATTTGTCTCGGATATGCTCGAACCTAGAGTCTCGAGTCAAGGCTGGATCTTCTAACACTGAAGCCTCGACAAATACTACCATTCGTTTTTCCTGAAAACATTTCATTCAATAATTATTATCATGTCTAGTAAACTAAATAATTTAATATTTTTGTAACAATGAGCACGTGTATTTTTTCATTTGTTTTCTTTTCATTTTTCATAATACAACTTGTGTACTATTACATACTAAAAGGCTAATGATTCCGAAAATACTTAAAATCTAGTTTCTAAGTACAAATTATTTTAATACCTTCATTAGCCATGTAATTAGCTGTACAAATGGAGACAATACCGCAGAGTCTCGTACTTTTTTTATCACTAGAACTGACAAAGGTGGTCTATGCCATGTAAGTCTTTGTGAAGCAGGGTCCTGGATCTGTCTGCAATTGGAAAGAAATTATACTTTCATTAATGCTCTTACAATCATTTTGAATGTCGTATGGATCGTAATTTTACTATAATGAATGAATATAGAATTTCAGTTTTTAATGGATTAGTACCTATGCAATTTGTGTTTAACAAACTATAATTCATTTTCTCAATAGTCACATTTTTACGCGAATGTTTTACTAGATCCCCACCCCTGGTTCCGTGAAAACTTATTTCGAATTCAAAATTCTCACGTGCTATTCCGTGCGTACGCTGAAAAATCGCGAGTGTTTTTTAAATACGTCAGAGTTAGATTGATGTCAACTAATTGCGTTTGATATCAAATAGTTATTGCACAAAATCTTTTAAATTCGTTTTAGGTGTTTAATATATTATAATTTATAATTACTGTAAAAATGAGATAGTGTAGAGGCTTGAATTTTATAACACCAAGTGTAAAAATTTCGTTTAATATTGTATTTTCATGCCTTGAAAAGTACCTATTACGTCACAAAATGAATTAATATTTTACATTTTCGGTCAATAAATTTAATTTTGTCCATCGTGCATAACAGTTGAAGGTTGTCTATCATAAAGCTATCGATAAAAACTTTTTAGTGTACAATTAACTATGTGTCTTGAACAAATTCGATAATTCTCGAAAATAATATAAATGTATTTACCAAAATATTTACCGCGATAAAAAGTTAAGCGATCAATCAAAATTAACACGAAAAATCGTTTAATTACGTACAAAGTATAGCGCCTTTCTGCACAGATCCCGGCTTTGCCGTGTTTTGGAGGTAACACTAATCTCGTCGTTCCAACCATTTTGATTAATATTTTGAATAATACGTTTTTTTAAATGACTAAAACAAATACTTTTGACAAGACGTTACGAGAGAAATGTCTCTCGCAGTCGACGACTGTCACGCATATACTGATTCTACTCGTTCGCGCCGTCTTTTTTTAACTGAACAACGAATGCACTTGTGCGCATGCGTTCGCGTTCATCGTTTTATGCATCAAGTCTTATCATGCACAGGGATAAGATGATGATAATAGTCGGGTGTCTTGTTCTTACTGATAATAACAATAATATATCCACAAAACTTATGCACACGCGATCTCTGCGGTTTGATAGATTTTTTTTTGTGACATAATCAAAATCGGTGTAACGACCTGTTGCCAACGACTAGTTTTTTTATCGTTTCGCGTAATGAATTTTTTTAGTCATAAGAATTATCATTCGACTTTACCTCAAAAGTTTTGGAAAGTTTGGAAAATCGAGGTTGAGTACTTTACATGTAAAATTTATAGTTACCTATAAATAATATTTTTTGGTTGTTATTGTTTACGATGCAGGAAAGCCTCGATACTAACTAGTAATTGATAATGAAAATTATAATTGTTATTCATCTAATGTTTCTTCATTTTTTAAGTACGTTTCGCTCACTATGTGATCAATATAAAAGTTCACGTGCTCGCAACGATTATGCGTTAGTGACCTCGCACTTTTTCCCAATGCGTATTGCATGGGATAGTGGCGATTATATTGTATGCTAATTGAAGGTCTTTTTGTGCTACGTGGCATTATTTATTAAACTTCGTTATGGATCAGTATTCTGTATTTGAAAAAGTGTCATTCGCGCCTTTTTACAACTGTCTATAATAAATGCGGCGTATGACTCATTCAATTGTTACGATTCTGAAATTTTCAAAGTCATGGAAGTATCGTTCAAGAAAACCAAAAAGGCATTTCATGCTTCTCTGTATAGCTTTGTAATATTTACTTAATTTAAAGTATCATGTTTTTTTTAATCAAAGTAAATTTCCGCTTTCGTCAAGATTTTCGTTTTTTGCGTTTTTTTGCGTCATGTGTATTACATGTCTGATCAAGGATAAATTACAAATAATTACCAATTGATAATGGTTATTGAAAATTATACATTTATGCCGGTTTGATATTATGCAAATGTATTACGAGAACTTACACGTAAAAAAAGTTTGCAACATTGTATGTAAACTTTTTTCTCTTCTTTTGATGATTACTTGATTAAAGTAATAAATGAATTGATTGTAGGTATATTATCGTGGATAGTAACGATAGTTTTGTTAAGAGTAAAATATTATAGAATTTATTACAGTACTTACATGACCATAGTTGCATTTTTCAAAATACGTCCACATGGTCCAAACTGCTGTATGGGACTAGGAGCATTAAGAGATCTTGTCCTCCTGCAAATGAAGAAGAGTTTTGATTGAATTGTTTTTGCCTTTCTGCCCAATAGGATATTTTATTATGCATTTGGAGATATTAACATAGTAAGTTTTCGAAGACACAACAAATAGTTAAGGCTAACTTGCAATGAGCAGAAAATGTAAATGAATAAAAATAAACATAGAAAATGAATATTCTATTGTCTAACTTTCCAGATGAACGCTGAATAATAGAAAAAAACACTTTGCATTTATTTATAGGGTTTTACCATATTTTTCAATGAGCTATTCAAATTTCTCTTTGAATCAAAAGTATTTCAATCAACAACACGGATTGTTTATTGATTCATTAAACTTTTTCATTTTTTTGTTAAGTCGAATACGTTTTGCGTTTTTGCTTTTTGTAAAAATATACCTTAACACGCGATTTTTTCTTCTGTCAGCAGTCGACTCGAGGTCAAAACCAGAGTCTAGACTTTCGTTTCGAAGAGTTTCGCGCAATGGAGATACTTGGTCCATAACGGCCGTTGAAGTTCCGATCAACCATTCAACGATTTCCTCATCAAGATTTGACATCTTGGTGTTATTATTTCAATTTTTCTTTTTTCAAAGATACTTTCGATCTAATCTTATCGAATTTCAATTGATCAGTGAATTCGGTTTATGATTACTAAAATGATGAGACAATTTTTTTGTCATAATGAGTTTCTTAAGTATTGTTTGAACAACTGAAACCTACTATCACAAATCTGATTGTGCTTTAACAATACATAAGAGATCATTTTTATTCCTGTATGACGACTTCATGAATTTTGAATGAGTTAAAAAAATTTTTTACTATGAAGAACAGTGAAAAACTGTTATCATCGTAAAAGTATAAGTTGATGGCAGTTGTGAAGATAATCCTTGAAAAACCTCATTAGACTTACAGAGGAAATTATTTAACTTCCTACGTATTATGAATAATCAATTTAGTATATTTATATGAATTTTTGTAAATTATATGGCGATGCGGAAATAGATTGCGCAAAAGAACTTCCTAATGACAAAATCAACTTGCAAACTTTTTCATCATTTAATTTTCTGTTAATCATTGGTGTAAATTATTGTAATAAATCAGTGTTATAATCGATATTTCAGAATGAAAAGTAATTCTTATAAAATAGTCACCGTAATGATTTCTCGAGTTTTCTTTTTACAAAATTGTCAAAGAATTCATTGTAAATAAAAAAAATAATAACCTGTGCAATAAATCAATCACACAGTAACATTTTTACAGAACATAAGTTATTAACATTTTTTTTTAAATGCACTAGGTGTCGTCATAAAATACGTATATGCATCACCTGCTAGTCATGATTACGTGTGTATCGAGTCGGTTACGTAATTGCGAATTGAGAACGATGCTGTCTTTGGTGCTCTATAGTATTACAAAGTAGTACTTTTGATGACTTTTTACAGCTACCTTTTGTACCGATGTTTGCAATTTTTCATATAAATGGAAACAACTTTACCTTAACTTTTGTATGTAATTTGACAGAAAAAGACTAATTCCTCATTAAAATGGAAAAGGTTGTTAATTGCACCTCTATCTTGTTTGATAATTAAATTAAATTAAAATTATTTATTTTTACGCAGTTTCAAATATAAAAGAGCAAAAAAATATTAATACACAAATGATATTTTTTGAACGTTACTTCTTCATAATCATCTTGATAATCTAAGAGAAAAATACTAAATCATGAAAGTATTGGGTTTCATTTTTCAATCTTGAAAAATATAAAATTTAAAGATTAAACAAAAACTTAGTCTTAAAAAGAAATATTTTCGGTACAAATGTAAAAATACAATTTCTAGAATTTTATTTTCACCCCGATTTTGATATTTCTTGAATGTTTGATAAAAAATCTTGATTCCAAAAAACGATTTCTGCGATAACTTAATTAATTTTTGCGAACAAAGGTACTAATGCAGTTTGTTTTAAGTTTGTTGACTTCTTGAAAGAAACAATGACACGTACTGAAATCACAAACATAGCAGACCGATGAGTCAAGCATAACATGCGTATGCAATATGATTTTCAACGCGTTTATTATCCTACATAAAGGCACAGGCACTGCAGATTCAATTACTATAAAGATAATGATTATTCTACAGTATCATTTAAAATGTATAACTGCACTAATATTGATATAATTTTAATATTCTGCATGTCAAAATGCAATGTGTAACATAATCGATTAAAATGTCGAACGTTAAATTCGATCAATTTGAGCTAACTTTGCAAGTTGATGATTTAGAAAGTCCAAAGTTATAAAAGTTGTAACGTTATAAAATCGTGTATCAATTGTGTTTATTAGTATAAAATAATGATAAAGTTTGCAAATAATTTTTAGATGAAAAAATTTGATTATTATCCAATTTTTAGAACTGCAAATATGAGTTAGAATTAAAAGAAAACCCTAAACAAGTTTTTGAGAAATGAATAAAAATAGTTTTGCAAAACACATTTTTCATCACATGTAACTTGTTGCTAAATATTTAAATAGATATTGAAATTGAAAGACAAGCTAATAAATGAAATTTTTAAAGTTATTTGTAAGCACAAAGTTATTAATAAGAATTAATATCATAAAACACTAAAAGCACTGTTAATTTTATGTAGTTTAATAACTGCATCATATACAGATATATTTTTTAGTACTTTTAACATGTTTTAATATTAAGAAGTTGTTGTATGTTAAAATGTAGTGTTTGCATGTATAGAATGAATGTAGAAATGCGAAAAAATTAATATTATAAATTTTTCATGCAGATTAATGATTTGTCGAAAATAAAATGTTTGGAAATTATTAATTCGAGAAATTCTCTGCAGTCTCTCAATTTTTAAATTTTAATAACACAGTTCAAACTGAAAATTAATTTTTTCGGTCAATGCTGAGAGCAATTTAAATTTTAATCTCCGAGCTTGCATTAGGAAATCTTTTTTAATATACACTCAATTACACGTAAACGAACGCACTTTAATCGCGCTAGTACTTAGTTATTTTCAATTTTGCAAGTGATCTTTTAAGGAAGCAGCGGAAAAAACGTTGACTGTAGGTGCGTGATCAGCAGTAACCGTGAAATGACTAACTTTTGATCTGCTACAGCAGCATACATGGAGCAATTATGAAATTCCTGTGAGTGCGCCACACTCTTTTTCAGTTGGTAATGTAGTTTTCGTAGTAGCTATATGTATAATAAAACATGCGCACACTTGACTTCTTTTTTTATAAATACACATATCGTATCGCACGTAGCTAATGATGATGAAACATTGTCCATGGTACAGCACGCAGGTGAAAGGATAACGAAAATGAGTGTGTCTGCGGAGGTCAAAATTGTCGATGGTTGATGATGCCAATCTTAAAATTACATTTACTTTTTTCTATCATAAAAGCATGAAAAACAGCTTTGGGTACGAAGATTTCTTGCGATTTTAACTTATGTTGTATGAATATTTGAAATTATCATTAAATTTTCATATCTTAGTTTTAAGTGAAAATGCATGTTAAAAAGGGAAATCATAACTATTTTATCCAACAAAAAGTTTGACATCTCATCTGTAATCCCCAAAAATTGCTTATTATCATCTAAAAGTCCCCTAAAATTTGACTAATATATTGACAGATATGAGATCATAAAATTCCTCTATTTACAAAAATTTCATTGCATTCTTATCAATTTTTCTATTACTTTGATTATTAATTTCAATTGTTTTAAATCTCATTATAAAAAGGTCTTTATCAAAATTTATTTTACTGGACAAAATTACAAATTTTTCATGAATCATTTTTTGGGGTAATCCTGAATATGAAACTAAACATCAGGAATTAATTTAAAAACAAGACAGCTTGGATCAAATAAATTAAAGGGGTTTCCCCTTCTCTTAATTCGCTATATCAAAGGTATTTTTTCGTTGTTAAAGTTTTTCGAAAATTAGAGCGTAACCTGTGCGTTGTAATTTTGTATACTACCTGGCGATAGCTAAAAGAAATACTTGTTCTATAAATATGATTTCCATAAATATAGTGCCACTACATACAACTCTCTAGTATACGTAACACAAAAGAAGTGTTAAATAAATTATACACTACCTATCTATGCACAGTTACATTTTTGGAGGTTAAGGTGAACTGTTCTTATTTTATGATCTGAATGTATCACCCATATAAACCATCGTGACATACCTTCGATCTCCTTCACTATCGCATAAATCGAGATTATTCGAATCATTTTTGTCAACACTGTTATTGGTTGTGGCCATTGCGACCGAACAGCTGTTACTAGTTTTGTTTTTATGTCTTACTGTGCACTCAAGCATAAATATGAACTGATAGGATTGAAGAGTCATTGTTGTGAACCCCGACCACTGCTCTAATTCAGCGCATGCTTCTTATACAGTTTTAGTAAATTCAAAAATTTGATAGAATTATTTAAAAATTTAAGTAAATATTTTAAACAAATAAACTTTTCCTTCCTTTTCAATGTGTATTTTCAATTTTTACTTTAAAAATGTAAAATAATTTTTGCATTTATTTGAAGATAAATCACTTCACATAATTTTAAACTTTTGAAAAATTAGATAGAAGCTCATTTAATTTGTTTTATTCATTAGAATAGTTTAAATAGTTGTAGAATTTAGGGTAGGATTATAAATTTTAGTAGAAATACCCGAAAATGCGTACAAAAGCTGATATTTCTTTCTTGGATTTTTGAAATTTTTGTTCATAAACTTTACGAAACATAGATTTACACACGATTTCATTATGTTATATTATATTAAAAAAATATTCTAAAACGGGTAAGGATTATCTAAAAATCGTTGAAAAATATTATTAAAGCAAAAAATTCCGATACCGGGAATCGAACCCGAGCCTCCTGGGTGAGAGCCAGGTATCCTAGCCACTAGACCATATCGGATGTTGTAGATGTTACCAAATTTAATGTATAATATGGAACAGAATGGTTTCAATATCTTTCTGATTTAAAAAATGTCGAGTAGTTATAGTTATACGTTAAAAACTCGGCAAAGGTTAAAACTGAAAATATCAATATGTCAATCACCTAATTTCTTTACAGGCTTTTTGAAGCTATGATTTATGTAAATTACGTTTCAACTAGCTCGTTAAGCGCAACCAAGCATTAAAATTTCAAATAGGAATGCGGATTTTAGTACGGGTTTTTAAACTGAACAGAAATTTTCCTCACTCTCTCCTGCATAACGAAACATTCCTGAAGGGATTCCAAAATAACATCTAAATAAAAATTACATTTACTATAAACCACAGAGGTGAAATTCTTAGCCGATTCTCTTTCTCTCTCATCACTTTCTAAATATTTGTCGAGCCGACAGATATAAATCATTTTGAACTCACGGCCAGGTACCAGAGCGCTTCCTCCTGCGGAATTCCTGCTCCTTGTCTTCGAGCGATGGCACACGCTGTAATTGAGCCTGTCGTTTGTGCAATTCAGGCACATTTTGCTGTTGTGATGGATAACGCCACGAACTCAAAAGCTCGCAGCTGCTTACGCTGCATCGACGCGTGCGTTCCCTCATTATTTCCATTTAAAAGAGTAACTCGATGAACGCATAATTGCAGTTTACGCGTTGAATTAACAATGTTATTTTTTTCGCTCTTCTTTTTTTCTACTATGAAGCTATATCTGAAGCATAGTGCAATATGTTGATACGTTTTTTTTTATTTTATTTAACTTATGGTCAGCTTTTACTTAGCATTTTTACAACTTCAAACGCAATATTACGTATTCAAACCTTGATAGTTGATATGAATATGTAAAAATCAAGTGTTCTGAACTCGTAATGATTTTGCATATAGAATAAGTAAATTCAAAGTCTTGCATGAAGTTTTCATTACTGAACACGTGAGCTCATTGTAATTTGAAATTGAAAAAATTACAGTCAAAAATGTTCAATGTTCGACCTGATGAATTCGAAGATAGAAATTGAACTAATCAAATTGAGTTTAATGCAATGAAAAATTATTGAAAAATTTTAAAAGTAGGTTTGATGATAATTTGAAAAAGAAGTTTAAATCTCAAATAAGTTATTTTTTATGTTATTTTCCAGTAAAAGCGATCGTAAGAAAAATAACAAACTTATAATTTATCAAACGCCTACTATTATGTTCTTGAATCGTTAGAACCGGTCGGAATGTTTCGAAAAAATCTTTTTTTTTTAATCACTGAAAAAGTTCATGTATTGTCAATGCACTTCATCTTTTGTTGAAATTGTTTTTGCTTGCTGACCTTAATAAGCTAAATTCACGGTTCGATGATTCTTTGCTGTCTGCTAGTTACTTAGCTACGCGATCAATGTTCAATTTTACACAGTAACTCATGTTTCTGCGTTAAATAGTCTTATAAGATTTTGTCAAACAACAGTATATCACTGGTATTTATCGAACTTTTACGCGATATTTTTTTGCAAAGGAATTCATCCGTAAGTACTTTGAGAGTTACAGCTGATTAGATTCGTGTATGCATATGCATAAAATATCAGCTGTGATTGCAGAAAAATTTTTTATCACTTTTAAACTTAAAATTAAGCACTCTTTGCCACTTTAAAAATACTTTTTAAATCAAAATAAAACTTGATTATTTGAACATCTTATAATATCTCACTTTAGTATTTTTCATGACACTTTCACAATCAATTTTTC